AGGGAGGGGGGGGTACAGGGTCAGTGAAGTTCTTCTTGATCGGGCACGGGCAGCCTGCTGTTGTTTCAGGCTAGCCTGTGCTAAAATAAGTGGAAATGGATAAACTGGTCGTTTTTGCTATGAGAGTAAGTTTCGCACCTGACCGTTTACCTTCGGTCGTAATTTAGCCGCTAACCAGGATAAATTCTCGTCATGCTAAGGCATCATAATTAAAGCAACCAATTAAAGTTCGTCACAACCCAGAACCTGTGTATGCGCATATTAAGCAGGTGATAATAAGAGGGAAATTTCATGTCAAGAGTGCATGAAAGATCGCAGGAGCTTGCAAAAATTGATGCAGTTAGGTGAAATTTGACAACGGAAGACGGGGGTCGTTTCTGAGACTGAAGACGGTCTAATAACAGCCTATCACAGGTAAACTCACGGAAAACAAAAACCCCAAAATTCTGTAAAACAGGAGCGGTGGTCATGGTCATTATTTTATTCATTATGTTAATAATTTTTTTATTTTAATTATTTTATCCACTTATTTAATTTTATTTATCTTTCGCTGCCATATATAAGCTTTTTATAATAATAATAATTTTTATCTTCTATTTTGCTTGACATATTTTTATTTTCTCTCCTTCACCCGCGTAATGCTTAACCCGTATGACTCTTATTAGCACCGGTCCCGTATAACAGAAGTCTGGGGTATTTGGATTCTTCGATATTACTTACTGATACAACTGTTTTTACTGTTGCCAACACACGCTGCTCCATGACTAGAATCTGGCCAGTTGATGTCTGAACACCTCCCCACCTTAATTATCCTAAGTTAATTACTACAGATTGATTGTTTACTCCACCTCCTCGTATATTTTGGTATTTGTCTGATGATGGTTGATAGAAAGCGTTCGTTTTGCTCAACACGACTTCCTTAATGAGTACAGGCGTATAATTGCTGAACCTCTACTTCGAGTCAAAGCCGCTATTTGAGTCTATATCATGCAAGTTTATAATGCAGCGACTTTTTCACGTAGTCACTTGCAGTTGGAAGCATTGAGTTAGCAGGGTTAGTGACGTCCTTTATCCGTGCCTGGGGGTGAAAACGCAAATTACTGGTGCTCTCTTAACCTGATCTCTACAACCTAGGTCAAAGTCAGGGTTAGTCCTTTGCGTTCCGCAGGAAGGGCTTTCTAAGATGTTTCTTGTGTTTCCAGGAGGAAACGATGGCGAGTGGAGGTGAAGAAGATGAGCAGACTAAATCCCGTGCTGCGTCGCTGAAAGAAGCACGTCATCGAGTTCTGCGTGAGGCTGTCGCCAAAGAACGAGAACTAAAGCAACAACAGAAAACAGAGGTGGCGGAGTCGGAGTTTAAAAAGCAGTTTAGGGAGGAAGGAAGAGAATCTCCGGACGATGATTCCCGTGAGTAATGTTTGAACAGGCTTATCTGCTTATCTACTTACCACTCCTTGGGTGGCAGAGTACTTACAGATAACTACGATTTGCTTGACCTTCCATTAAACCACTTTAACGTCAATTGATAGATCAAAATCCAAAGTATTTTGGTGAAGCTGTAGGCCACTAAAAGTAATCAAAACCACATGTAATCGCCGGTGTTTGTTTAATTGCAATGAACTCTAATGGACTCGCGCCGCGCTTCATGCGACTACCCAATCAGAACGTCGAGGTAGAAGTACGGACACTGGGAAACCGATATGCGTGTCAGCGTGGTAGACTCAGGCGTGATGATTGCTCGGCCATCTGGCTTCCCGGTGTTGGCGTAGGATGACGCGCTGGCCTGTCCTTTCCCCAAGTGGCGACTTGTGCAAAAAGCATAAAAGTGCGGCGATTTGCCCAATCCATATTCGGTGCTGAGGCTTAATTTAGCCAAAGCACCGGAGAGCCAGATGGCCGAGTAATCCTCACGTCCGAGTCCACCACGCGTGACGAAAGGTCAGCAAGTCAGAGCCCGCATGCCGTTCAGCAAACTGTCTACGCGTAAGAAGGCAATTAACGTTAGTTGTCGCCGTATGTTTGCAGTAATGACTGTATCCTATAAATACTGCAAACTCCAGTGCATACGCTATCCGTATCTGCTACTGCTCTCTATTTGTCTCTCTGAGGATGAACCCGCGACGGATCCTGAAACGTCAGGCAAATAAACGTATTCTCCCAGCGATCGAGTCCTCTTCTCCTTTGTTTGTGCAGATGGCGGGTTAAATCATTTTTATAGGTTCGACCCGTCCCGAAGGCAAGCCCCGGCATTGGGAGCGGACTAGCGTGTCTTCACTGTCCGCGTGTGTGTTGCAACTCTCCCTGTATCAGGTGTGACAGTGTCTTATAAGAGGGTGTCAAGAGCGCGTTCGTCTGTGCCCTGATTGACGCATTGGGACAACTGTGATTAGTGACGCGCGTGAGCAAGTACGTGCATCTGTGTCCTCTCCTGTCATCGCCTGTCATCGCCTGTATGCGGTCAGAGCTAACAAACAAAGACACTTGGCTAGGCTCAACGCCTCAGGAAAGACTCCAAATGTTGCTAGCACTTGGTCAGGCTACCGTACTAATAAAATTACTAGGTAAACTCCTAGCTGTTGCGGACTTCAGGCCCTGTTGCCAGACGGGAAGAAAAGAAATGAGACGCAAGATGAGAGGAAAAGTGTATTCAATACAAAAATAGGGGAAAAAAGTAGGGGAAGGAAGTTGACTATCAGAAGAGTGCGGAACCGCTCACGAGAGGGCCATGCCCGAACTGTATGAGCGTGGGAGTCATCACAGAACGCGCAGGTCAGACTTTTTTGCGTCAGTATTAAAGGTGATTGGCCGGACGGATTGGTGTCGGTCTGCACGTGCACACACGATGGAGCCTGCGAGAGGCAGGAGGTTGAGCGTTGGCGCAGTTTGACGCACATGTTGTTGGCTGTCCCAGAGACAGACCGAGACCTGCAATCACATGATCTCGCGTGCGGCGCCACGCCGAAGTTAGAAGGCGCTACAAGGTCACTGCAGATGTGCTGGGCCGACAGAAGGGCTAGATCGG